TCCCCCCCCCCCCACCCTCGCCACTTGTTAGGCAGAATTGCAAGAGCTGTCTGAGAAGTGGGGTTCCTCAGCTAGAGCAGAGCCTCTGTTGATGCTCTTTTTCGGTACCTTCCTCTTCGAAAGGCTGGAGGCATTTTGGATTCAAACTGACATTTTGCTACAATCCTAGAGAAGCAGCAGGGCATTAGTTGTGGCTCCTGAAAGACAATAATCTGCTCTTTTCCCTTTTCTCAGGTAATTTGTGACAAAATATTCCGTCACTGGTTTTCCCCAAATCTCCGAGGACCATTGGTTTCCCTCCCACTGCAGCTGCAGCTGCAGAAGGCTGTGCAGGAGTGTGCCGAGCCAGGGCATGCGGAGGCTGCCGGGCACCAGAGGACTCTGAAATCTCTCTCCGAACTATATCACCTACTTCGGGTCACTCAGCGAGAACTGCACAGGGCAGAGTAGACACAAAAGGCAGAACGGCAGAGATCAAATCCCAGCCACCGTGAAGGGATGCTGTATGTGAGGCAGCCTGTTTTCTTCCTCTCTCTTCCATCCCTCCGACCCATTCACAGCACAGAGGTTGTTTTTCACCCATGCAAATGAAATTCATGGCTGCAGGTGCAGCACGTCATGTTAATGGTCCTTTCAAGTGTGAAATTGTTTTACATTACCTGGATTGTGCGCTTGCTTATTTCCCTGAGTTAGCGCTGGCCCTCTCCATCAGCATTCAGCACATCGTTTGCTTGCCAAGAGCTGTAGTCTCTGCTCCGAGAGCATCAGTCTGAGTGTCGTGCTCAGAGTGAGGATGCCTTTATGAAGAAAAGTGTAAGCAAGTACAGCAAAACTAATATCAGTAATTAAAATAGTGGGTGGGTAGGTGTGGATAACTACGTGCATAGCATTTGTTTTAACTTCTCTGTAGAATGAGGGGGTTTTTAAGTAGGTACAGACTGCTCTGTGTGATAAAACAATCTCATATAGGGAAAAGTATTGTCACACAAGTGAAGAGTTGCTTTCATACAAAGTAATCTTTTCTGATGTCCCCAAATGAATCTGGTGTGTTGCATTACCTGTGCCATAGCTCACTGGTTGGGGAGAAATTTTAGGACTTTTCTGGAGCAAAATAATTACGCCTTTGCCAAGTTCCCATGTGAATACTCATATTCTGCAGTGGAGAGGTATGAATGACGTCACTGAATGAACAAGCCCTCGTGCACTTGTACATCAGAGCACTTGATAAGAAATACTCCGTTGCCAGAGAACACAGAGCTATTTATGCCAGCAGTCTGCCCTTTGCACTGAATGGAACAATATCCAGACCCGGAATTTTCTTACACAGTATTTTTTTAAAGAACAAAAGGAAAATTTTTGTAAAGAATTCATTATTTTGCAATCGGTTACACAAATAAAGATCCCTAGATTAAACTAAAATCATTAACCTTACCTTTAAGAACTGTGTAGCTGTGGCTGAGGACTCTAATGCATGGGTTCAGAAAACACTGCGTGTGTTTAACCCAGTACTGGGCAATATACCCAAGAGCTGATTTTGTCATGAAGACATTAAAAAGCCCACAAACAGAAAAACCAACAGCCTGCGACAGCGCTCAGATCAGAAGAACTGTTCAATATTAAGACTGGCAATACTGATTTGTGGATGTGAGACATACAACAACACATAATCTTTTTCATCTTTTTATCCCTCAGCCTTATGAGATGCCTGAAGCCTGTGAACACTAATTATACATAACCTTTCAATTTCTGGAATATCCTTTTAAAGTCATGTTAAAGACTGCCTGTGACCAAAAAATGTGATCTGCTTAGGACCTTGACACTTACACAAAACTAGCTCAAGTTTTCAATCTAGTGCTAGGGGTTTTTATTTCTTACAAGAAAGTGCTGTAATTTTAAAACCCATGCAAGCCATGAAGAAGCTCATAGAGAGAGAAAGGTTGGCTGCTTTGCTTTGGGGCTGTACTGAAGATGAGCTACAGCTTAGGAGCTCCTGACTGGTGAAGTTGTGCTCAGTCAGTGCTTCTCCTCTAGCCAGGGAGGCAGACGATGTTTCAATACTTTAAGATCATCCTTTGAAAAAGCAGGAAGGCAAACCAGAGTAAAAAGAAACTGTTAAATCATTGTGAAATTGATAGAGGAGAAAGTGGTTAAGGATAAAATCAGATTATGGTAAAGTGCTGAGGATAGATAAAGTATCAGGTAGAGAGAAGATACGGAAAAAGAGACAAGGGAAAAATAGGAAAAAGTAAGAAATATGGCCCATATTGCGAAAACATGATTTATGATGTAAGGTTGAATAAAGTGGCATTTATTCTGTGGAAGAAGGAACTGAAGAGAAGCACGGTAACCACTCTTCAGAAACAGAAAGGGGCTGATGAAGAGAATAGGAGATAACTGCCCTGGCCAAGTTTTCTTGGTGGGAATGACAAGAAATGAGCTTAAACTCTAGCAAGGAAAACTCAGGATAGACATTTGTTACATGCTTTCTAATAGTAAAAAAACACAGTTGAGATATGGCACAGATCATCTGGGAAAACTTCAGTCTTTATAAGTTGTGATTTTTAACTACAACAAGAGTGAGAGCCTGTCAGGAATGATGTACATGCAGTTTCTACCTTGAGGTAGACTTCTATCTCCAAGTCCCATGATTCTGTTATTACCAGCTTATGTTTGTGCTCTTGCCACTCCCCCCCAACAAAATCCACCCTTTCAGGACATCGGGATAGGTAACTCTCCTTTACCTTGTATATGAAAATCACTGGGCTCCCCTGGGAAGGGAAGGCACACAGATCTCCAGCCATGCTACAGAGCCTGCTGGTGTGATCAGGGTTCGTGTGTTTCCCCCATGACCTCCCTCCTGAAGGCACTGAACCTTGCCAGGTCAGGAGAGACTCCATATATACCCCAAATGCTGCTGGGGAACAGGAAGATCTTACACATTATTGCTCTCCTGTTTCCCTGGTACCATAAGTTCTTTCCTCCTTCCCAAGGCCATGGGGTGCCATCAGGGAAAAGCAAGCATCGTTTAGGCACTCGGTGCTTTGCCGCAGTGTTACACTCCACCATGGCAGGGCTCTTCCATTTTCAGGTTTATATTTCAAGCAGGCTAAATTTCCGTCAGATGTGACGTTTCAGTTTTAAAACGGGTGGAAAAAACACCGCAAAATGAAACCTGGTGGCAACAAAACAGTAGTGGAATGTCACTTTGCTTCTTTTTAGGAAGAGAGGCTGCCTTTGACAGATTTTTCCAACCCCCCCTTCTCCCCCAGTGCCTGACTGGAGCCACCTCCACCTGGCAGGGACCTCCCTCTGCCACACCACACACTTTCCCAGGTCATTAGGTTTCACTTCTTTTCAGGATGCAGAGAATAAACTTCCAGTACCCCCTATTAGTGACACAAATGGGTTATTTGTACTTGGCTGGGCTATGAAATTGCATATCAGTGGTGCAGCCAGCTCCGGCTGGCTTTGGCACACCTTCACCGGTGAGTGGAAAGACGAGGAGAATCTGACAGGCTGTGTGTGAACACAGAGCTTGATTCTTCACTGTCCTCTGTGCACCTTGTAAAGTCACCCAAGCCTGGGAAATGGGAGAGAAAAATATTACCAGTGAAGCAAATGAAATATTCCAATTTATTTAGTGCAGTTACCAATGACCAAAACATGAATAAAATAGAAGTTGTTCTGGGACAGAAAGAAAAGAAAATGGAGACATTGGTTTCATTGCCGTTTACCTTAAGGAGGCAAGTGCAAACTGTATTGTTTTCCACCTGTGTTTTATGGTGGAAATAGAAATATATGTATATAGAGAGATATATGGTGGAAATAGATATATATAATAGATATAGGTGTTTGATAATGAAGGACCAGACTCCCATGTCCCTTCTGACAAAGCCCTTTTCGTACTGCCTTGGCATCATTGCCCGCCAAAAATAGCCCTGGCATAAAGGGATACCCAGGTGGCACATACTTCAGAGGGCACGGCCATGTCAGGCGGGTATTGAATGTGTGCTGTCAAACTCAGGCTGTTGGCACAGTCTGTTGCACTACAAGAGGAAGCAGTGATAGCTGGGAGATTCTGCAGTGAAACAGTCTTGAGGTACGGTCAAAAAATGAAAAGTTGACAAAAATTATACCGTGCACTGCAAGAGTCTTAATTAAAAAAATAAATCAAAACAAAACAAAAAACCAAAAAACCCAAGACACCAAACTCCACGATTTAAAATGCTTTTAAGTCAATTTTTTAAAATGTCTAGAATACTCAGGTTTGACATTTTCTATATGGAAAAATCCGCAAGTCATGTTCCCAATTTCAGTTCATTCAGACTGAAATGGTTTGCAAAATAAAAAGATGAAGACTGAAATTAACCAGGATACAAACCCCAGTATTTCGTCTTGTCTATGCAGTGAAGCTTGTTAGTACCGTCGTCACTTTCTGGTGTTTACTTTTCATCGCAATTCGGATGGGAAATCTCATGAAAGCTTTTGCAGAGACTTCTTCACCCAGTCTCGGTGGTCAGACTGGGACAAGAAGCGGTCCACATAGAGCTTTGGAAGTCACCTTTGCCTCCTGCTTACTTTCTACACACTGTTTATGCTCTTAACTTGAGTTGCAATGGTTTCTGCTCGATTTCTCTCACTTTCAGGTATCTCCAAAGCTCCTGCCTACTGGCATCCTTGTTTGGTATCTAGTTCACCGCAGCTTTGTGAAATCACAGTCTACATAAGACGCTTCACACTGTTCAACCCTTCCATATGCGTAGGTTCACTAATAGCATTTGGCTGCCCTGGGAATGGCCACTTAATCCAAGAAGGCTGTTCCCATTCGATTGATCTCAGCTCCATCTCTTTGCTCCCTCAGTCTGTTTCTGAATCCTTTTCACCCTATAAAACTGGCACTACTTCTTGATTCATTTCTACCACTTGCTGCATTAGCTCCTTACTCAGCAACTTTCTCACCGTATTTATAGCTCACTATAAAACAGGAATGGCATTAAGTCCTTGTTTATTCCTTCTTTGCACCTCGGTTAGCAGCACATGCTTCAGCTCTGCACTAATCTAAATACACTGTCTGTTCCCACATTTTACAAGATGTGAGTCCAGTTGGGTATCTACTTCATAACATTTAGGAAAGATAAATTTAACACTTTGCTCAAGATTTTCATAGAACAGCTACTTCTTAAATAGTTTTTTCAATTGGCATCGTATGCTCTGCAAAAACATCTGCAAGCAAAAGCCCTGCACGAGGGTGATGCGAGACAGAGCAAAGCTCCTTGTCCCAAAGGATTTATGTGGTCTCCTTTGTGTTTTGAGGTTGACTTAATGGTGACTAACCCAGAACAGCAGGTCATTGCTACAGCCACAGATTTTTTATATTGAGACCACTACTCCCTAGTGTAAATTCACAGACTCACTCCCCTGCACTGAGAGCATTCAGATACATTGCTGGAGGCAGCACTAGAGACAACAACAGATGTTTGGACTGGGGGAGAAGAGGGAACGGTTTGTTTTGTTTTGATTAGAAACATTGACTGAAACACAGGTGAAAAATGGGATCATGAATTTGAAGTTAGGAACTCCTCACTGATTTTTTTTCCTTCATAAAAAAAAAGTGTAGACCTAAGCTGCCCTATATA